TCTTCCTTCCCTTTTTCCAAAGGCAGAATAGCCTCACTCAGTAGCCACCACCACCACAGGCCATGAGGAGTACTGTTAGACTACCAGCCAATGTTTCCATAAGGCCCAAGGGCTTTTAAGTCAGCTTGTAGTGAATGCTGCCTGGCCTGGGACTCACTCTTCAGGGCAGTGGGCTACCCTCTTGCCCAGGGCAGGTCCAGAAGTACCTTCCAAGAATCAAGTCCTGGAACTGGGGACCCCAAGAGCCTACTTGGTCTCTTCCCTGCTGTGACCATGGTGGTGCCTGAAGCCAGCAAGTCTCAGAGGCTCACCTGAGGCCCTTGATGTAGTATCTGGGTATTGTTGCTAGTTATTCAGGGACCAAGGACTCTTCAGTTAGCAGGTGATGAATGCTGCCAGAACTGGCTCCTTTTCTTCAAGGCAACAAGTTCCTTTCAGGCCCAAGTTGTGTCTAGAAATGTGTCTGGGAGCTAGGGCCTGGAACAAGGGCCTCACGTCTCTGTCTGGTGCCCTATCCTACTGTGGCTTGGCTGGTATCCAAGAGGTAAGACAAAGTCCACTCCACTTTTCCCTCTCCTCTCCTCAAGCAAAGGAAGGGGTCTCTTTTGGAACTGCAAGCTGTGCAGCCTGGGGTGAGGGGAAGGGTGATGTGAGCACTCCCTTGGCTGCTCCAGCTATTGCAGTACACTTCTTTTTATTCCTCCTTCTTGGAATTTGTTGTGCTTCCTGAATCTCAAGAATGGATGCCTTTAATCCATCCTGGAAATTCACGTAACATAAAATTCACCACTGTAAATTAATTCAGTGGCTTAGCTCTTATATTTTGAAATATTGTCTCTTCCCTATTCTATTCATGCTCTCTTTCAGGAACTCCAAGTTATATTAGATTTTCTTATTCTATCCTCAATGATTCTTAACATCTCTTTCATGGTTTCTGTCTTTTTGCCTGTTTGTGCCATAATATGTATAATTTCTTCAGTTCTGTCTTTGAGTTCAATAAATTGTACTTCAACTGTGCCTATTCTGCTGTTTAGCCAATCTACTGAATTGATTTCAGTGATAATATTTTAATTTTTAGAAGTTACACATTTGATTCTTTTCTGAAACCTTCTGGTCATTGCCTATGCTCTCTTCATATTTTGGATAGCTTTGGAGGAACCATGTTGAAATGGAACCTGGCTTCTTCAACGTTTATTTTCTATTAACTATTTGAAAATTTCAAATCTGAAATCTTTTGGTGTCTTAACCAGGTACTCCAAGATGCTACCAATCAGGTACACTTTTAAAGGTTTAGGGTTTCCCGGATGCCACAGGTAGAGAAATTTGAACCATAAATCCAAGTGATAGGGGGTTATTATTAAAGATTCTAGTCAGGCGCGGTGGCTCATGCCTGTAATCCCGGCACTTTGGGAGGCCGAGGCGGGCGGATCACCTGAGGTCAGGAGTTTGAGACCAGCCTGGCCAACATGGAGAAAGCTCGTCTATACTAAAAATACAAAAATTAGCCAGGTGCGATGGCGCATGCCTGTAATCCCAGCTACTCAGGGGGCTGAGGCAGGAGAATTGCTTGAACCCGAGAGGTAGAGGTTGCAGTGAGCAGAGATTGTACCACTGCACTCCAGCCTGGACAACAGAGTAAGACTCTCTAAATAAATAAATAAATAAATAAAGATTCTCAGGTGAGAGTTTACAGTTTTTGTTTTTCTTTTCTACCCAGAGCAAAAGAGTATAGTCCTTCGAGTGTACTAGTGTTTGTCGGGGCCTGGAATCTAACTCAGCTTTGTTCAGGCCAAAGGTCTTTCTTTCTTGCTCCAGAACAGTCATTAAAATTCAAGGCTCTTTTTACTGTATTTGAGGTGTTTTTGTGTAGGAATAGTTTTTCAGTGCATGCCAGGTCACTAAAAGGAACTAAAGTCTTTGACAGTGGAATAACTCCTGGACAATTTTATATTAAATATACAAATAAATCAGGAGTTGTGATTTTAAAACCACATGAAGTCAGATTGTATTTTCTTAGCATTTATGGGTAAAGAACAAAAATAAAAACTATTTCGTGTATGACAAAAGTAATTGGGGCAGGGCGCGGTGGCTCACGCCTGTAATCCCAGCACTTTGGGAGGCCGAGGCAGGGAGATCACGAGGTCAGGAGATCAAGGCCATCCTGGCTAACACAGTGAAACCCAGTCTCTACTAAAAATACAAAAAATTAGCCGGGTGTGGTGGCCGGCACCTGTGGTACCAGCTACTCAGGAGACTGAGGCAGGAGAATGGTGTGAACCCAGGAGGCGGAGCTTGCAGTGAGCCGAGATCGCACCACTGCACTCCAGCCTGAGCAACAGAGTGAGACTCCGTCTCAAAAGAAATAAAAAAACAAAAACAAACAAATAAAAAAAGTAATTGGGAAGAGGTGTATTTTAGGATAATATGGATATGACAGCCATAAGAAAAACAGTACAGTTTTATCCTTACTAATAAATATCATTGCTTAAAGTGTTTGATTAGCACCCTAAAAAATGTATCTTTTTGTATATTGTTAAAGGAAGTTGGCTCTGATGCATAAGTATGAACATCTATTAACACAATGAAATTAGTCCACAGCAGAACTGTTAGTTTAAGCCGTGTTTGGGCAACACATATCTTCCTTGAAAAAGAATTAGACTGAAAGAGCTGATTATTCCTTAAAAGCCATTTAGCACAACCCACATCTCATACCTTAATTTGTAATGTTTCATACAAATTCAGTTCTTTTCAGTAGTTCGGTGAATGGTATGTCACTTTTTGGATGGCAGCACTGATTTTTGAAGATTGCTGTTACGTGGAAGAAAACTGGCTACTTTCTATGTAAATATTTTGTTAAATATTTATTGCTTTCTCTAGGATTTCTCCATCAGTTTCCATGACAGAGTCTAGCAGTAGATGTACCAAAAAAATCTCCCAGGAATATCTTGTTTAGATTTACTTTGAGGAACCAGTAACTCATCCTTATGGGTCCAGAGGGAAGCTATGGGCAGACTCGTGTGAGCCAGCCTCTACACTTGAGAGTATATAAAACTCCTGGGGGAGTGGAGGGGGATCCTAATATCAGGGAGAAAAGCTCCTTGTCTGTAAACATGAAAAGTGAAACACATGTTGACTTTCAGGGTGCTTAGTGATAAATCAGTGAAGAAGAAGAAGAGGAAGAGGAAGAAGAGGAAGGAGAAGGAGAAGAAGAAGAAGAAGAAGAAGAAGAAGAAGAAGAAGAAGAAGAAGAAGAAGGAGAAGGAGAAGGAGAAGGAGAAGGAGAAGGAGAAGGAGAGGGAGAGGGAGAGGGAGAGGGAGAGGGAGAAGGAGAAGGAGGGGAGGAGGAGGAGGAGGAGGAGGAGGAGGAAAGGGAAGAAGAAGGGGAAGGGGAAGAAGAAGAGGAGGAGGAGGAAGAAGAAGAAAAAGAAGAAGGAGAAGAAGGAGGAGAAGAAGAAGAAGAAGGAGGAGGAGGAGGAGGAGGAAGAAAGAAGAAAGAAGAAAGAAGATTTATTGAAGAAACAAAGTTCTAGCTGTTGCTGATCAGATACCTTGAGGTCAGCGGAGGCTTCAGTGCTAGACTAGCTCTTTAATCCCTTCTTCATGTAAGATCCCTAGGTATTCTTTTACCCTGGTATGATCCTTGCTACACATTTAAACTGACTTTTGTGAAATTTATCTGGTATCTAAGTGTTTGGTTGCAGGAGAAAGCAAAACAAAAAACAAAACCTGAATGCCCTATTGCCAGAGGCAGACTATCTTAGACATCTTGTATCCCTTATTCTGAATATTTAGTAGGTAACCATGATGTTTTTTGTTAACTTCAATAACAAGCACATTAATTTAATCATGGTTAAAAACAAAAGTGAGAGAGATACTATTAGCTTTATTTTTGAGCAGTGGTTTATCCCAAATACATGTATTTTATCAGCTACCCTTTCTGTTTATAATCTGGCCTTGGAATTCCAGAAGACCATATAATGAAGAGAAATAATAATCAAAACAGCACCACATACCCATTTTATTTTCTTTCCAAAGCAAATTTAGATGATATATTACTTTTTGTAACTTGGTACCTTTTCCAGAATGCTTTTCTTTGCCCCAGCAGCAAATAACAACAAAATCCCTGAAGCCTCCAAATATTTGAAACTATTTTTCTTGGAGTTTCCATGGTATCTCCTTCATATAAATGGATCTGAAAAGCCTTTGCAGATAAATGTGTGAAAATACATTTTATGTCACTTCTAAAATCTGGCAAGGGAAATTATCTCTAAAGACATTCATCTCATTGACTTGGCAATTTTACTAAACTGTAATCACCACTTAAATATTTTCATTGTTGAAGAGCGCATGTTCCCATAAAGTAAAGATTCATCCACCCAGAGCTTGAAGGATAAATATATAATTTCCACAAAGGTCTTATAATCCTTAGACACAGTTGAGTAATAGCGCAGAATTAAATAGTGCTGTCAGCACTGAATCTATCAGTGAGACCAACAAAAGTCAAAGTGGGTGGCATATTTCAACAAATGGTAGCAGAATATCATAAGATTCAGGATAGCTCAGAAGACTAAGCTGCATATCTAATTAATCCTGAAACATTATTTAATTGCCCAAATCAACTGTCATACTAATTCATGTTCCTAAGTTCATAGTGGAAGGAGACCAATTCTAAAGAGATCTTAGTCTGGCCATTTAAAAAGTCATCCTCATTCAGGAGAGTTACTCAATTTCAATTTAATTCTTCATTTCAAAGAGGAATAATTATGTTCACTTATTTTGAATAATAAGTTATTGTATAATGTGTTCTAAGTGAAAATTAATTAGTAAGTCACCAGTCACATTTAGTGAAAATAGAAAACATACTTCCCTTTGTTTTCAGAAATAAGTAATTGCTTTTGTCAGTCCACAGAAAGCTGTTGACCATCTGCTATTCCTAATACTTTGAACAGTGTGCAGAAAGTGTCTGAAGTAGAATAACAGTGTGTTTATGATTGTTTTAGGAAACAAGAAACCAAGAATTGGACGAATTGTCTGGGCTCAGTGGCTCACGCCCGCAATCCCTGCACTTTGGGAGGCCGAGGAAGGAGGATTACCTGAGGTCAGGAGTTCGACACCAGCCTGGCCAACATGGTGAAGCCCTGTCTCTACTAAAAATACAAAAAAAAAAAAAATTAGCTGGGTGTGATGGTGCATGCCTGTAATCCCAGCTATTTGGGAGGCTGAGGCAGGAGGATTGCTTGAACCTGGAAGGTGGAGGTTTCACTGAGCCAAAATCACGTCACTGCACTCTAGCCTAGGCAACAGAGTGAGACTCCGTCTCAAAAAAAAAAAAAAAAAGAATTGGACAAATGAAATATGCAGACATAGTCACTGCCTATGAGCCAAAATACAAATTTTTCTTTTAAATGTTAATATTACATTGAAAAAGAAAAGAAACTGTGTTTTCCTTAGTTTCATTATAATAGAGCTATAACAATATTTTAATTAAAATGCATAGGAAGCATAATAATGTAATTCAGCATAAAAATACTAATGTACACAGAGAGCTTATGGTGTGACCTGAGTTTGCACAGGTGGGTGAGCTGTAGTTCTTTTCCAGCGGAAGACCATGTGCGGATCTGGACCTTTCCAGATAGCAGTTCTGACCATGGCCTTCTAGCATTCACTCTCCTGGCTCTCATCACTCCACAGATTGAGAAGAAAGCTCTGCCAATGATCCCATCATTTCTTTGGGATACACAGAAGTAAGACTCACTGAATTACTCCAGTGAAATCTTTGTTAAATGGGCCTTTGTGTCTATGGTACTGTGTTGGGTTGCTTGTATTCAGAAATTAGTCACATTGATACTATGTCTGCTCCATGAAAACCTGTATTACTGTATTAGTTCTCACACAGTAATACAAAGGGAAAAGAAACCAATTTAGTAAAAACACAGACTATGTTATTCATAGACTTGAACTCAAGGATAAAATTACTGAAAGCTAATCTTTTTAAATAATGTATATGCTGATTAAAAGGCAACTGTAAATATGAGTTGGTTCTTTGTTTTCATAATGAAAAAATACAAAAGTTTTTGGGTCAAGATGAATATAGGAACACAATGGATGTTTACAAAATAGTCAATGTTTACTTGAGCTAGTTAATATGAATCTGGTTATACAATCATATTTGAAATAATATTATAAAAATGTGCCAATTTGAAATATTTCTTCTCATTTCAGAAATAATTTTACTCAAATTCTTCAAATTCTTGAAGACAAGAGTCTTCATTATCAGAAGAGCCACTATTTGAGCCATTTAATTTTTTCCAATTCTAAGTATTTTGAGATAAAACAGTTTTTAAGATAAAATACCTTTGAATTGGCATATACTATAATTGTAAATTTTATTCCAAAACAAAGTAGTCAATCGTGAAACAGTAGAACAATTGTTTTACATTGTCCCATAAGACATACATTTGTTATCTCCACAAAGCAAAGGTGAATTGCTTTATAAAAAACTGATCTTAATAATCTTGTTTATATCCATATCCCAACACTACAATTTGAAGGTCTTACCTGGAAGAATAATTACCAAATCTGTACTAAAAGTCTTTGTCTCTTTTATTAGCTCAGTTAGATGACCTTTTAAGATTCCCCATATAGCTCTAATTGACATCTTTTCAGGCTAATTTGTCTTTCCTAAATAATTTGTAATTAAAATAGGATAATTGGAATAATACTTCCATCAAACAAGAGTCTTGGAGAGGACTTGGATATTAAGTGTCTTAGTCCATTTGGGCTGCCACAGCAGAATATCATAGAGTGAGTGCTTTGTAAACAACAAATATTTATTTCTCACAGTTCTGAAGTTGGGAACTCCAATATCAAGGTGCCTGCAGATTCAGTGTCTGGTGAGGACCCGCTTCCTCATTCATAGTGGCAGTCTTCTCATTGTGTCTTCGCAGAGCAGAAGGGGAGAGGGAGATCTCTGGGGTCTCTTTTATAAGGACACTAGTCCCATTCATGAGGTTTCCTCCAGGCTTCCTCCCTCATGACATAATCAACTCCTAAAGACTCAGTCTCCTAATGCCATCACTTTGGCAGTTAGGATTTCAACAGATGAATTTGAGGGGACATAAACATTTATGTTTATGTAACTCCTTTAAGTAACTCCTTTTCTCTGAGGACTAATTTGGTAAAACACAAAAACAAACAACATTCTTCAAATAACTTGGCCTTTATTTTTGCTTGACAGTTAATCACATTTTGTTGTAGTTTTGTCTTTGGTATTATTGTTCCTTAGGGTAAAGTTTTTCAATCATTGAAGCCACAGAAAATCTTTAAGGTATTTAACATACATATGTTTAACCATTTACACACTGCTATAAAGAAATACCTGAGACTGGGTAATTTATAAAGGAAAGAGGTTTAATTGACTCAAAGTTCTGCATGGCTGGGGAGGCCTCAGAAAACTTACAATTGTTGCAGAAAGTGAAGGAAAAGCAGGCACCTTCCTCACAAGGCAGCAGGAGGGAGGAGAGGAGGGGAAACTGGCATTTATAAAGCCATTAGATCTCGTGAGAATTCACTCGCTATCACGAGAACAGCATAGGGGAAATCACCCATGATCCAATCATCTCCCACCAGGACCCTCCCTCAACACGTGGGGATTATGGGGATTACAATTTGAGCTGAGATTTGGGTGGGGACACAGAACCAAACTATATCAACATGGCATGGTGGTTTTAAAAATGCCTACAAATTCTTTGACACTACTCCAATAAAAAGATAGAGCCCAATTCCCCTTCTCTTGAATATAAGCCAATCTAAGTGACTCAAGTTTAACAAATGAAATGTTCTGAAAGTGATGTTGTGTGAGTTCTGAGGCTAGGTTGGAAAAGACAAGACAGTATCTGCCTGGTGATCTTTTTGTCTTTCTGTCTATCCCTCTCTCTGAACCAGCGCCATGTTTTGAGGAAGCCCAGGCTCCATGGAGAGGCCAATAGCCAAGACTAAGGTCTCAGCCAAAAGCGAGCATCACCTGCCAGATACGTAAGTGAATGAGCCATTGGATGATTTCCGTGGCTAGCCTTTGAGTTGCCTCAGCTAACATCAAGTAGAACTCTGACCATCTTGTAGACTTGTGAGAAAAATGCATACTGTTGTTGTTTTAAGCTACTAAGTTTTTGGGGTGGTTTTTTATGCAACAGAAGATAACCGAAACACACAGATCATAGGACTACAGAACAATATGTGTCTTACAGAGTAAATGATTAATAAAGAATTCCCAAATGAATAAACACATGAATATGATTATAGTAAATCAAAGTGAATATAATTTCCATTTTCCAATGGCAACACTGATATGTTTTTTTCTGACATCATTATTCCTCAAAATGCTGTTATGGACTAAACTGTGCCTCCCTCCCAAATTCCTATGTTGAAGCCCAAACCCCCAGTGTGACTATATTTGGAGATAGGGCCTTTAAAGTGGTAATTAAGGGTAAATGACATCATAAGGATGGGGCCCTAGGCCAACAGAACTGTGTGTGGCCTTATAAGAAAAGGAAGAGACACCAGGGATATATGCACGGAGAAAAAGCCATGTGAAGATAGGGTAAGAAGACAGTCATTTGCAAACCAAGGAGAGAAGCCTCAGGAGAAACTAAACCTGCTGACACCTAGATCTTGGACAGCCAGCCTCCTAAACTGTGTGTGAGACAATACATTTCTATTATTTAAGTCACCCTGTCTGTGGTGTTTTGTTATGGCAGCCGGAGCAGACTAATATACATGTCAGACATGTACCCTTCTCAGGGCCTTATACTTGCTGGCCCCTTTCCCTGGGGCGCTCTGCTCCCAGATAGCCACAGAGTTTGTTCCCTTACTTTATTCAAATCTCTGCTCAGATGGTACTTCAACAGAGGCCTTCCCAGGCCACCTTATAAAGGGCAGGTTCTGGCTCAACTGACTCCTTATCCTCTTACCTGCTTTAGATTGTCTTCATAGTGCTTATCACTACTTCTCATGGTATTATACATTTGTCTCTGTTTTTCTGTTTTCCCCAAAGGGAAGTAAAGTTCTTGAAGGCAAGAACTGTGCCTAATTTAGATTACTGTGCTATCCTAGGTCCTGCAACACTGCCAGGCACAAAGTAGCAGCTCAATAATGTTGAATGGGTTTTTAAAAAATGGATGCTTTTAGGTTAACAATGAATAAAGGACCTGTGCCAGGTGTGGTGGCTCACACCTGTAATCCCAGTACTTTGGGAGGCCTAGGCGGGCAGATCATCTGAGGTCAGGAGTTCAAGACCACCCTGGCCAACGTGGTGAAACCGCCATCTCTACTGAAAATGCAAAAATTAGCCGAGTGTGGTGGTGTGCACCTGTAATCCCAACTACTTGGGAGGCTGAGGCAGGAGAATCGCTTGAACCGGGGAGGTGGAGGTTGCAGTGAGCTGAGATTGTGCTACTGCACTCCAGCCTGGGTAACAGAGTGAGACTCTGTCTCAAAAAAAAAAAAACCAAAAACCAAAAACCAAAAAACCACAACAACAAAAACCTGGTTTCAAAAGCAACATCCTCACAAATTAAAGTTAACAAATCCCCATATTTTGTGATGTTGCCACAAAAGACCAGTTTTATCACAAAAGGATTCTAAGAACCAAAGGAAGATTAGGTCTCAGGCAGCAGGGAGCCAGAGCCCAGAGCTGCTGGGGGAGGCAAGGAGACCACAGGTGAGGAGTCCTGGAACAGAAGAGTCTTAGAGGGAGGGTCCAGTTCTCACTGAGGACGTGGCTGCACTAACCTTCCAGGTTACAGTGCTCGCATTGGGCTGTGCTACTACATTTTTAAAGATTCTTGGCTAATGTGGGCCAGAGAGATCTTCAATTCAAACTAGAGATTGTTTCCTACCTGATAGGGGCAGCAAGGAGGGGACCTGTGGAGGTGGCTGCTGAGTGGGTAATGCTCTCTGGAAGAGAACTCAGAGTGGAGACCTTGCAGTGCCCTGTCTAGTCACAGGAATTGCCAGGATGCTCAGGGTCTTGGGAACCAGACAGCTTCAGAGGGATCAGCTCAGGCACCTGCGCAAGCGCAAAAGTTATTTTAAAATGTCATTGCTTTAA